GGCTAACTCAGCAAGTCCGGGCACAAAGCAGCTTTGTGCCGGGCTCTTTGTCTGAAGGGTGCAATGGCTCTTAACTGGGTGGCCAAAAAATTACCCCACGGCTGGCACCCCACGGGCAGCGTGCCCCCTCCCAGCCCTGGGTAAGGAGGACACGTGGTGCTGCAGAGGCTGGTCCCTCTGCTTTTCGGGACGGGGACTTTCCTGGGGGAGAGGCGGGTGGCAGGGAGGGAGGGGACCGTGGAGCAGGGAAGCCCGGGTCTCCCAGCAGGTCTGGCCCCCTGGGCAGGTTGGGCCAGTTCAGAGGAGCTTCAGGGCCAGGGTGGCTCCCGGGTGGCCCTGAGCCTCACACCCGGCCTGATGGCAGCTCCCTGCGCCCCACAGCACCCACAGCAGGGACCTGGTGGGGTGGGTGAGAGTGACCCACACGTGTGGGGCAGACTGGCAGGGCATGTGGGGACTGAAACCCAGAGAGCTGGGAAGGGGATGGACCAGAAATTGTGCCTCCCACCCCTGCTTAGTCATCTTCATCTCTGCTGCGCCCACGTGTGATGAGTTCGTTCAGGTCTCAGCCTCACGGAAATGAGGACGGGGCCCAGGCTGCAGCCCCCACCCCATGCATGTAGGAGTGAGTTGAGCAACTCGAGGTTTGGAGTCGCTGCAGCCTGGGGGTCACTGACACCCAAAACTGCCACGTGTAGCTAAGCCACCGGCAAGGCTGGACACAGTAGGGGAGGGGGAAGCTGCCCACCCCCCAAAACCACGTACAGACCCTGCAGCTTCCCCAAGCTCTGCTTCCCTGCCACGAGGCACCCCCAGCAGCAAAGCCCCCTTCTCCAGGACCACCAAGGGGCTGTTCCACCACCCCGATCACCTCCATAGACAGCGCTGGCAGGTGTCACCGCGGCCGTCACCCTCCCCTGGCTGTGGTGGGGGGCTCTGCCTGGCTGGAGAGGCCAAGCACCCATGGGCCAGCACCGGGCAATGTCATCACCCCACAGAGGGGAATGTTCCCCCGTCCCATGCACCCCCCATGTCCTTCTGCAGGGTGCGGGTTTGGGTCCCCACAAGGTGACGTGGAGGCAGGGCACCCTCTGCCGGTGCCTGGGCACAGCACACGCCAGCCCACACACATGTTGCCCACACACACGCTCCCGTGCCCACTCACAGTGGAGAACCCCACGCACACGTGTGCGCACCCCACTGCCCGTACACCCGTCTGCATGTGCACACACGTGCACTGAGCACACACACACGACCCCACGTGTAAACGCACACCTCCCGCTGTACACATGGGTGCTCACAGCTGCGGGTACACGCAGGTGGGCGCACAGGCAGGCCCACGGTTGCACACACAGGCACAGGGGCAGCGCGAGGCTCAGTGGGACACCTTGACCCACACGTGGGCCGTGTGTGTGAGCACGCATAAACACGCCAGGGCGATGGGGTGAGCACATGTGCGTGGCATGCCTGCTGAATTCCCCACTCCTTGGGGGGGAACAGAGCTGAACCAAGTTTTTATTTCTTGCACCCATCAGGGATTTCCCTTCCTTGAGCATGGGGTCATTTTCAGCTCTGCCACAGCTTCCCTGGGGGGACCTTGGGCTTAACCCTTCCCATCCTTTCCTGCTTGCCCAGGACAGGGACTGGGACTGGGGTGGTCATAGGCATGGGGCATCGCAGTATGGGGAGGGGGGAAGCCATGGGGAGCAAGTGGTCCCAGCGGGGATGTCTTTTCCCCCTGACCTGTTGACAACAATCACCCACAGACACCCTCACTGTCTCACAGCCCTACTGCGCACACCCAGCCCTGCTCACACACAGCCAGACACACGTGCACGCTCACAGCTGGGCACATACACCCCTCAGATCCCCTCACCTGGGCCAGCCCCCTCCCATTGAAGGCACTGGGTGCACAACTCACACACCCCCCCCTCCCCAGTCCCGGTCCTTCATCCCCCACAGCGTTTTGGGGTAACAAAAGTACCATTTGAGGGCGTTTACAACTTTTATTTAAAATTTCCTTTCCAAGATAATTTTCAGGGCTGCAAGCCAGGCATGAAGTATGTGTGTGAGCCTCTTGCAGGCAGGGTGGGGAGTTAAAAAAAAAACATAGCTGAAAAGTTGGGTCTACATTGAGCCCCCAAAGCTATCTTCGTCTGCACTGGCCCCCAAAGCCAGAGAACCCTGGGGTCAGCAGGAGCACTCACGTTTGGGGAGCAGGGAGGCATCAAGCCAGCAGAGTCCCCGCGATGACACCCCAGCACCCACAGGCACTGGGGCAGCTACGTGGGTGCTCCTGCCCCCCCGTCCCCGCCAGACCCAGGACCTGGCAGATGCCAGTGGACTTGGAGTTGGCTAAAATGAAAATAGAAAAAAAAAAAAAGCCTGGGATGCCATCCAAAACTGCTTAGCGTTAATTAATTCGTACCCGCGACGTGATCTACCCTCAGCCCCAGAACATCCTAACATAGTCACAGCCGCGGCCGCCCGCCCCAGCGCGGCTGCTGGCCGCTGCCTTATTTTAAGGAGGAGACAGTGCAGCTACTCTCCTGGCCCTTGAACACAAATTGCTGCTTCCCACCGGGCAGGATTCCAGTGGGTGCCAGGGGCTTTAAGATGTGGGTGGTGGAGGGTGGGCAGCCATCCTGGTGTGCATGTCCCCTGGTCATGGGGCTACAGCCCCTGCTTGCCCTATGGCAGCCTGCCAGCTCCCCAAAATCCATCCCAAAAACCCCGTGGGGGCTGGGGCAGCACAGCGGTGGTGCTGTGCTGGGACACCTCATCACCCCTGGGAGGTGGGATGGGGTCTCACTCATCACTTATTCCCCCACGAGGCAGGATGAGGGCAGTGATGTGCTGGCTCTGGCAGGCGCTCGGTGCTGACACTTCTCTCGAGGGCAGAGCAGAGCTGCCTTGATTTCCCATACCCCACCACTGCTGTTACCCCAAAACCCTTTTCCCTTGCTTATACACCCCATTCCCCTCCGATGGGATGAGGGGGCTGGGCACAGCACTCCAGCCTGGCCCTCACCATGGGGTGCAAAGCGACTATTTCTGCCTCTGCCTGCTCCTGCCCAGCTATTTTAATCCCTGGCAGTGGGCAGGGGCTGTGCCGGAGCTGCAGCCGCTGGCAGGTCTGGGGGCGAGGGCTGGGGCCGTGCTGACAAGCTGGACACAGCTCAGAGTCAACCTTTCTGCTGTGGGGAAGCAAGAGGACATCCCAGTGTCATGGGGTTAGGGACAGCGATGCCACCCTGCAGAGTTTGCTCCATAAATCCCCAGCTACTGGAGTCCCGGGATGGGGGAAAGTGAAGCCAACCCCGAGCCTGGCCCTGGAAGAGGCAATCCCCCCGTAAGCGGGAGCAGGACTGGCTCAGGGGACATCAGCTACTGCTTTTGGGGACGGAGGTGGGAAGGGAGGGAGGGGGAGGCAGGGGCGAGGGGAGCAGGCAGTGCCGTGACTCAGCCGGGGGTGGCAGCGGGTGAGGTGTTTTTGTTTAGTTTCTAACGTTACAGTTTCCACAGCACCGGGAAGCAGCCCCGGGGGACCGCGGGAGCCCGGCGGCACCAAGGGTGGGATGGGGCAGCAGCGGACCAGAGAAGCTGTTCTGCCGCTAACGCCACAACAGCTAAAAATACTGCAGGCTATTGTCACCAGCAACAAAGCAGCTGGTGTATTTTTAGCATTATCTTCACTGCCATCGGCTCTGCGGCCCTCCCGGGAAGCACTGTACCCGCTCCACCCGGGCACTGCCCTCCGGAGAGCCGGGCAGAGCCTCCCACCCACCCCCTGGCGCAGCCCCTGCAGCCACCGTGCCTCAGTTTCCCTCCTGTGCACTGTGCTACGGTGCCATCCACCATCCCACTGCTGTCATCCAACTACCTCCACCCCACAAATGGCCCTGAGCTGCCACACTTGTCCCCTGCACATCCATGGTGTGCCCTGCCCCTGCCGAGTGCCTGGGGACGTGTGGCTCACAGGACAGCCGTCTCCATCCGGGCAGCTCCAGTCCAGCCCAGGCAGCTGGAAGGGGTGTGCAGAGACCGGATGCAATGAGTTGACCAAGTGTCACCAGGAGATCAGGGTGACAATCCCTCCTCCCTGCTGGGGCACCAGCCCTCCTCCTTGTCCTCAGCTCATTCCCGCAGGCAAAGCCAAGTGAGCCTGCGAAGCTGCCCCATCCAGTCCTGCTCAGCAGGGAGCTGTCATTGCTCGTCCTGGGTGAAACGAGTTGGTGCAGTCTCAGCGCAGTGGCCAGGCAGCCAGGGAGGCAGCAGGAAGGGCTGTGCCAGGCTGTGCAGGCTCTGCCAGCAGCTGGGCACAGCCCCAGCCCCAAAGCACCAGGATAACACCGGATTTGTGCAGATTTCCCCATCAAAACAGGGAGGGAGGGAGGTTTAACTTGCCTTTTCCCTGCCAGAGCAGCTCGGCGATCCGTCCTTCCGGCGAGTCCTTCTCCGCCATGGGGAGCAGATCGGAGTGGCTCGTCCTCAGCAGCTCTGAGGCAGGGACGGGATGGCGGCGATGACCCAGACTGGGCTCGGGAGGTGGGTGGCCGGAGACAGGTTGGATCCGCGGGTGGGCTGCAGCTGCCAGCACGGCTGCCCGCGGGCGCTTTGCCGGGCAGAGGACACCGCCAAGGCAAGCAATGAGCCCGTCTGGTCGCCCTTGGGTTTCACAGCGCAGCCCTGAGCTGGGGCTGCTGCGGCCCCGCTGGGATCCCTCCCCAACCAGCCGGCTGCACCCCCCCAGCGCCCGTGGGGGAAGCTTGGGGCCAGGGGACCCGACGACAGCACAGGGCAATCAATAACTCACCCAAGGCCAAGCAGGAGGGACTGGTCACCCCTTCCCTCTGCTCCTCAAGTGTCCCTCTGTCCCTGGGACAGTCCCAGCGTGTCCCTCACTGCACACCAGGAGACCCTGTTGCTTTGCACGGGGGGGGG